CATTTCCTACCCAGAACTCTCCATTGCCCTCATTTTCCCCAAACCCATCTCTCCCACCTGCACACATTTCTTTTTCTTTTCTTTTCTTTCTTTTGTTTTTTAGAATTTATTTATTTACTTGGCTGCACGGGTCTTAACTGCCGCTTGCAGGATCTTTTTTTTTTTAGTTGAGGCATGGGAACTCCTATTAGTTGCGGCATGTGGGATCTAGTTCCCTGACCAGGGATCGAACCCAGGCCGCTTGCATTGGGAGCGTGGAGTCTTAGCCACTGAACCACCAGCGAAGTCCCTTGCACACATTTCTAAAGTGCCAAGGACAAGGGGGAACCAATGGGTCCTCAGGGTCCATTTCAAGACACTCTCCTTCCCGGGGACCCCTGGGCACTGGTCCCAGCCAGACTCTAAGGTGCAGGCCCAACCGTGGAGCCAGGGTCAGATGCCCCCTAAGTTTGTCATCACAGGCAGGGGAGGAACCGGGCATGTTAGGCAGTCACATGGGACATGAGAGGGAGGGTTAGCTCTGTGTGGATTTGACAAAGCTGTACTGAGTCCCAGGGGCCTGGGGGCAGCTAAGAAGGAGGAGTCTTCCCAGGCTCCCCAGCAGGAGGGCTCCAGGCGAACAAGAGCGCGTGGTCCACCCTGAAAGACCCAGGCAGCCTGGTGGCTGTACCTCCTCTTGTCCCCTGGGACCCAGGGCAGTGGCCTCATCTTTGCCTCCTTGTCCCTTTAGCTCCTGGCACAGGGCTGAACTCAATATTTGTTGATGATGACCCTGCAGGTGATGGGGGGACAAGGTCCAGGGAAAAGCCAGCTGCTGGAGGGTCACAGCCTAGAGGTGGGTGAGCCCCCCCATGGTGGGGGGGGCTTGGTTGCCACCCCCGTGTTGTGACAGAGGCTGCTATGCTGCAGTCAGCTGCGGGCAGGTCACAGATTTCTCAGATGGCCAACCTGAGTGGGAGGCCTCCACTTTTCCACGCCCCCATCAAGGCATGGCCCTGGCCACCCTCTGGGGAAGATCCAGCTCCCAGTGAGAAGGAGGGGTGGCTCTACCTCCTCAGCCCATGGCATGGCGGGGCGAGTGGAGTCCTGGGTCTTGTCCGCCAGGCAGGGGACAGCGTCAGGGGCACTTTGGACACAGTGGCTGCCTTTGGACCAGCATCTAAGTGTTAGTTTCCTCACCTAAGAAATGAGAATAATGTTTCCTCCCTCATGAAGCCAGCATGAGGATTAAACGAGACATCCTAGATCTTCATTTAGGGTTTGGGCTTGACTCTTCAATGTTTGCTTCGAAGTAACAGGTTTCTTTTTTTTTTTTTCCTCTGGAGGGAACACAGTCAACTGCAAGGAAAGGGTTAGTAATTTAAAAGAAAAATTTATTTATTTATTTATTTTGGCTGCGCGGGGTCTTAGTTGTGGCACTCGGGATCTTAGTTGAAGCATGCGGACTCTTAGTTGCAGCATGCAGGATCTAGTTCCCCGACCAGGGATTGAACCCGGGCCCCCTGCATTGGGAGCGCGGAGTCTTACCCACCGGACCACCAGGCTAGTCCCAGGGTTAGTGATTTTTGTTGTTATTTGTTTTGTTTTCTCTGTTAGCGGTTTATTTTTAACTGAAAGGTTGACCAACTTATGCAAAGCTCAGTGGAAGTGTGTGTGTGTGTGTGTGTGTGTGTGTGTGTGTTGAGGGGGCTGTTTGTTCAGGCCCTGGACCACCACCTGTCCTTTGCATCACGCAAAGGACCAGCTCTCGACATGCAGGATCTCAGCGGACGACCTGGGACCCTCTTGGATCCCTGGCTCTCCCCGTCTGCCACGTCCTGTTGTCTCTCTGTAATCCTCCTCTTGTTGGCTGCCTGTGCTTTTCCCAAACCGTGACCCTCAGGAGGCAGCATCACTATAGAAGAATCTAGTCCGCTAGTTGCAGCCTCAGGTGTCAGCTGAATGTCACTGGCTTTCCTGGGGCAGCCAGCTTTTGCCTGGTTTGTCTGAAGGTCTGCTGTCAAGGGCTGGGGGTGAGACAGGTCACTGTGACCCATCAGATCTGAGGGGAGGAGCTGGCAGGATGGACGGGGTGGCTGACATCCAGGTTGCTGTTGTTTCTCTGCAAAAGTATCCAAAATCATACACCAGGAAGTTCACCCACACCAGGATGAACTTCCCTCTGGGCCCATTTCCAGTCTACACCAGAATGTTCCATTTCCCCTACTAGTGTACTTCTGACCCTCTACCTTGGCCGCTGATCACCCTGGCCTGGGCTATGTCATAGGGACTACTAGTTATATTCTCGGGGACTGTCAGTCATATCCTTGGGGACTGCCAGTCAAAGGCCACAGGAATGTGGGGGGCAGGCTGGGGCGGGCAGGCCCCCATGTTTTAAGTACTGAAGCTTGGGAAAGATTTTTTTAAAATTTATTTTATTGAAGTATAGTTGATATACAATGTTAATTTCTACTATACAGCAAAGTGATTCAGTTTTCCATATATATATATGTACACACACACACACATTCTTTTTCATATTCTTTTGCATTCTGGTTTATCACAGGATATCGAATCCAGTTCCCAGTGCTATACAGTAGGACCTTGTTGTTTATCCATGCTATGTATAATAGTTTGCATCTGTTAATCCCTAACTCCCAATCTATCCTTCCCTCATTCCCCCCTCCCCCTTGGCAACCACAAGTCTGTCCTCTATGTCTGTGAGTCTGTTTCTGTTTCGTAGAGAAGTTCATTTGTGTCACATTTTAGATTCCACATATAAATGACATCATATGGTATTTTTTTCTCGTTCTGACTTACTTCACTTAGTATGATAATCTCTAGGTCCATCCATGTAGCTGCAAATGGCGTTATTTCATTCTTTTTTATGGCTGAGTAGTATTTCATAGTATATATATACCACATCTTCTTTATCCACTCATGTGTCACTGGGCATTTAGGTTGTTACCCTGTTTTGACTATTGTAAATAGTGCTGCAATGAACATTGGAGTGCATGTATCTTTTCGAATTATAGTTTTCTCCAGACACATGCCCAGGAATGGGATTGCAGGATCATATGACAACTCTATTTTTAGTTGGGAAAGATTAACTCCTGCAGTCAAGAGGGCTTTAGGGACTCCCTTGCAAGTCACTCACTATCAAGATGTTCCCCTGAGTAGGAGGGAACAGGCTGTACCAGTTACTAAGCTCCACTGTGTCTCAACTTCAAACCCTCCTTCTGAAGTAAGCTTTGTCATACGGGGGTGGAGCCACAGATGGTCCACAGAGAGCACAGGCCAGCTCTGCCCTGGGGGAGGGGTGTCACCCAGGGAAATGCGGTCACCTTCGTTCCAGTCCCGTGTGGTGGTGGTGGAAACAAAGCCGAGAACCCCCAGCCTGGTCATGATGCTCGAACGCTCCCTTGCCACGAATTCAGGGTGGCTGTTATCCTCTGGGCTGCCTCTAATCTTTCTGTTTGGCCCCTCCCGCCCCCCGAGGGGTGGTAATCTGAGTTTGCACTGCTGTGATTTTTAAGTTTTTTAATTAAAAGAATTATTTAGCAGGCAAACTCAGATCTGCAGTACTAAATATACTTAAAAAAAATAAAACCTTTTTATTTTTGAAAAAATTATAGATTCATAGGACATTGCAAAAATAGATCAGAGAGGACAGAGGTCCAGTGGATCCTTCACCCAGTTTCCCCCAATAGTTCCATTTATGTAAATGTCATTCAACAGCAAACCCAGGACGTTGACATTGGTGTATGTGTGTGTGTTTGTGCCATTTTATCACATGTGCAGATTTGCAAAATGTACTTTAAGGGTTCTTGTGGTGATGCCAACTCCTAAGTTGTTTGTACATTACAGCGCTCAGGGACTCCTGAGGGTCTCTAAAAGCCTGCCTCTGGGTGGGCTTGGCCCCCGGAGGCCAAGGACCCAGGAGCAGATCAGGCGGTCGTCTGTGGGGGGCAGCACTTAGTCTGAGTGTCCCTAGGGGAAGGGGCTTGGAGAGAAAAGGGTGGGGCTGCTCCCAGGGGCCCAGTGCCTGCCCAGTTGGGAGGGGAGATTGGAGGGAGGCTGGGTTTGCTGCGGAGCTTTGGGGGCTGAGACAGTGTTGGTCCCAAATGTCAATAGTGCCAAGAACCCCTGGTGAGAGTGTCCAGAGGAGACACTGCCAGGACAGGGCTCCTGATCTCAGGCCCAGAAGCGGGGAGGTGGCTGGCTGCAGGCTGAGCAGAGGTACAGATAAAGGCATGGATCTGGGAAGAGCATAGTGCATGAGGGACCCACAGAAACCTGGAGTCACTAGAATCTCATGGGGACTCTGGAGAAAAGGGGAAAAGGAGGCCCATGGGCCAAGCAGAGGAGCTGGGAGCTTCTAGGGACGAGGCCTGAAAAGGGAAAGAATTTCATGAGAGCCGCTTGATAGGATCAGAGCCGACCACATCCAGGCCGCTCCCAGCAGGATGAGGCACTCCAGGCTCCTCTGGCTTCCGCCCTCACCGCGGCCCCTCTGTTATCCGAAGGTGCTAACACATCACTGTTAGCAGGAGAGCCCGCGTGGTACCCGAGGACTCGCGCTCAGGGACTTGTGTTCTCACTGAGTAGGGCTGCCAGATGTAGCAAATAAAAATCCAGGATGTGGGACTTCCCTGGTGGCGCAGTGGTTAAGAATCCGCTTGCCAATGCAGGGGACCATGGGTTAGAGCCCTGGTCCGAGAAGATCCCACATGCTGTGGAGCAACTAAGCCCGTGCACCACAACTACCGAGCCTGTGCTCTAGAGCCCGCGAGCCACAACTACTGAGCCCACGAGCCACAACTACTGAGCCCGCGAGCCACAACTACTGAGCCCGCGTGCCACAACTACTGAAGCCTGTGCGCCTAGAGCCCATGCTGTGCAACAAAGAGAAGCCACCACAATGAGAAGCCCGTGCACCTCAACAAAGAGTAGCCCCCATTCGCCACAACTACAGAAAGCCCGTGCACAGCCATGAAGACCGAACACAGTAAAAAAAAAAAAAAAAAAAAAAATCCAGGATGCCCAGTGAACTTTAGTCTTCAGATAAACAAGAAATGCAGGCAGTGTTTGGGATATATGTCTATAAAAAATGATTGGTTGTTTATCTGAGATTCTAATTTATGTGGGTGCCCTATACTTTATCTGACAAACCAGTTGCTGAGGCCTGTGGAGCCTCAGAAGCACCCCACCACCCTGCAAACTCTGAAGCCAGTGTGAAGGGGTTGCTCAGCCCTGGGATCAGTGAGCGAGGGTCTGGAGGGAGGAATGGAAGCTGGGCAGACTCCAGCCTGGAGTCCCTCCTGCCTGAGGGATGCTGCCGCTGTGACGGCCCCCAGCCCCTCTTTCTCAGCTGGTCCATGCCTGTGGCCCTCTTCTCCTGCCCCATCTCTGGAGTGACCCCACCCTGCGCCGGGCCTCGAGCTGGAAGCTTGGCCCTTGTGTTGATGCCTCCTCCTCCGCCCACTCCTCACCTCCCCCAGTGGCCACACCTACAGCCTCCGGGCCCGTCACCTGCCTCGTCCTGCCCCTCCCCTTCCAATCCAGTAAAGTGGCCTATCTGAAACCCAAGTTTGTGTCATAATCTTATAATGATGGTTTTTAATCCTGCAAAGTATTGTTTGTGTAAAAGATAAAAGAGGAGAATATCAGATAACTACCTTTGGCTGCTGGCAGAGGTCTGAGGATGCTTAAGTGAAAAAAAAATTAAATGAGTGAATGAGAGGCCTGGGGCCTCTGATTTTAGCTGAGAGGGGATGTCCAGAGGAATTATACTGACATCCGCCCCGCACACACTCTGGCCACTTGCAGAGCCTGAGTGTGGCTAAGAGGTCTAGGCTCTTAAGTCTTCCTGAGGGTACAGAGGGTAGCAATATCAAGAAGCTTCTGGAACTTTCTCTGGGTCTGGATGGGAAATCCTCTTGGGTGAGACCTGTAAATAATCCTGTACGGCGGGATCATCTGTGGCACGTGGCTACATCCTCCCGCCCCTTGATGGGTGCAAGTGAGACACACCGCAGTCCATGTCCAATCTCTCCTTCTCCCAAACCCACCGCGTTCCTTCTTCTTCTGGAAAGAACATCTAGATGGGAGGGAGAATTCCAGTCTTACAGAAACAGCCTCAGATCTCTTCTTAGTTATATAAAAAGGCAAAGCACACAGACTCTGGAAGCCTGTGCTGAGTCACAAATCATGTGTTACGTCCGAGCACACAGGTGGCTCATCCCCGTCCCGGACCCCATTCCCAGGTCTGGGCACGTGGCTGAGCACCTGGCCCTACCAGGCCCCTGAGGGTCAAGTTCTTACCAGGCTTGGTAGGGTTCAGGCCCCAGGTTGTTTCTGGCCTTGCTACTCAAAGTGCGGTCAGCGAGGAGATGTGGAGCTTGGGCCAGAGGGAAGAGCAGATCGCTGCATTCAGCTGACATTTCTTGAAGAAAGAAGCAATGCAGACAGGATTGGCCCTCAGAGCAGAAGTACGAGGAAGGAGCAGTTAAAAACAGTCGCTTCTTCTGGTTACAGAACCGTGAGATTCAAAACACACTTGCAGGCCTTGGGGAGAGGCAGGCTGGCCTCTGAGGAGGTCCTGGCAGACCCCGGCGGAGGCCCCTTTGTTGAACCAACTGCCTGGCCCTCTTGAGCAGCAGGTCCTTCCAGACCAGCAGGCCTGGAAGAGACATCACTTTAGCTGACAGGCTACCTGCCCACCTTCTGCAGCCTCCCCCAGGTTCTGTCCCTTTGCAAGGTTACGAAACCAGAGATAAAACCCACCCCTTTGTGAGTTACATCATCTGAGAGCAAAGCACCTCTCCTGTTTTTGTGAACCCCACAGGTACACCGTCACTGAATCAGCATTTACCTTCACATCCTCTACCTTGAGAGGGGCCCGTACTGTGTTGGTTTGACTATCTTCCCCTGTCTGTTATGAAACTGCTGTTGTGACATCATATCCTACTTTTCGGCTTCATTTCATTCCAAGGGAGAGAGTCTCTGCAGACAGTGGGAAGACAGTGTCGTTCCTTATCTGTCTTCTCGCGGTTTTGTCTCTTCTGCCTGGACTCTAAGCCTGGGTTCATGCTCTGTTGCAGTGACTCATCCCAGGGGTTTTATGCCTTATCTTGGATGGAACCAGGGTTCAAATCCCACTTCTGCCACCTACTTAGCTGAGTGAGCTGGGGTGGGCATGTGGCCTCTATCTCAGTTTCTGCTTCTGTCAGCTGTGAATAATAACAGCACTGATAATAATAATAATAATAATAACAACCTCCCCACACCCTGCCAGGCTTAAGATTAATGAGTTACATGCGTAATGTGCAGAATGCTGAACACTCAACTGAGTGTGTTCTGCTGTCTGTATGGGGCTCACAGTGACTGGCATTGGGAAACCCTTCACGTCCTCCTGGAAACAGGCAGGCAGCATCTTCAATAAAATTAGCAACATCTTCTGGCTTGGATAAAATACTGGAAGAGGCTGACGGCTGCATGTTCATTTGCATATATTTGCATAAGAAACGCCTTAGCGCCTCTTTCACATTCAGAATGACTGCTCTTGGAGTCTGAGCTGCTGCCGCTCACTGCCAGCTTCAGAGAATCCCACAGTGGGTCACGCCAGGGAAGAGTCACCCCTAGGAAGAAGTGAACTCTTGGTCCCCACCGGGGCACCCTCATGGACAGTTCAGAAGATGGCCTTTCTTCGCCCCCAGGCCACTCCTGCACCCCTGCCCCCACTGCTGTGGGCCCCGAATGCAAAGCAGTGTTATGAAGGTACAGACGTTTCAAAGATAAACCCTCACAAAATAATTGGCAACACATGCCAGGAGCTTTACCTGCAGTGTGTCCAATCCTCAGGCTTGCAGGCTGCAGTCACGGGGGGCTGTGCACGCAACTGCTTTGCACGCCAAGTGGACGCAGTTGCTTTGACTGGCTGCCACTCTGTGGTCGTGGATCCCTGAGAGTTGATGTTCAAGGCTGATGAACTGTGGGTGGAAGGCAGGAAGGCCCTGGAAATGCGTGGTCTGGGGAGGGAGGGTGTTTTCAAGGCTCCGAAGATCCTGCTTTGCTCGCCTGTGCCTGATACAGACCCCAGCGCCCTTTCTGGCTCCCTCCTCTAGGTGTGCACGTCCTTCACTGCAGAGCACGCCAAGTACGGACACGTCAAGATGCACCACGGCTACACCAACGTGCTGGGCCTGGGGGACTCAAGCACGTGGAGGCTGCCTTGCCTCAACCGCTATGTCTACATGTTCCTCGCTCCTCTCTTGATCCCCATCATAACCCCGCTGGTGGCTGTCGGTGAGTATGCCAGGGCTGGGCCCTGCAAAGATCTGGTTCCCCCTTTCCTTCCTTCCTCTCCTGGCTTCATGGAAGAAGTGAGAAGCCCTGAGTTAAGACCAGACAGAAACTTTCTGAGACAGCCAGGCAGGGTGGAAAGAACCTTGGTCCTGGGGCCAAGTCTGGCTCTGCCACTTACTGGCTGGTGATCACAGGCAGGTAACCTAACCTCTCTGAACCTCAGGTTCTTACCTGCTCCTCAAAGAGGGTGTGAAACAATTCCACTTATTATATGAGGGATCTAAAGTAGTCAAACTCATTGAAGCAAAGAATAGAATGGTGGTACCAGGGGCTGAGGGGAGGGGAAAATGGAAAGTCCCTGTTCAATGAGCATGAAGTTTCAGTTTTGCAAAATGAATAAATTCTAGAGATTTGCTATATAACACTGTGCCCAGAGACAACAGTACTGTACCGCACACTTTAAAACCTATGTGGATAAATCTCATGTTAAGTGTTCTTACCACAGTAAAATAAAATAAAAATTTAAAAAACTCTGTGGCTCTCTGAGAAGACTAGAAAGTTGCATGGGAAGGCATCAAATGCCTAAATAAATAAATGAATAAGCTTTACTCTTTATATTTGATATACAAGCCTCATTTACCATCATCTTGTTGTCTATTTAATAATCCCTGATCATGTTATAAACATTCACTTGTGTTATTGTTTATTAAATATCTTTTTTTCTAAAAAAAAAAAAAAAAAGGATGGTGTGAAAGCATAATGAGGTCATAGATATAAAAATGCTTTCTAAATGCCTCGCACTCTATTGCATGTTATAATTTTTAGTATCATAGGAGCAATATCATACGGTGGAAAGAGCAGGGGCGAGGGGACAGCCAGACCTGGGCTCAAGTCCCAGGCCACCACTTACTGTCAGACCGACCTTGGTCAGGTTGCTTAATGCTCCGTTTTCTCATCCATTAAATGGGTGAGAACAACAAAAAAAAAACAAAATACAAAAGGGAATTCCCTGGAGGCCCAGTGGTTAGGACTTGGTGCTTTCACTGCTGGGGCCCGAGTTTGATCCCTGGTCAGGGAACTAAGATCCTGCAAGCCGCGCGGCCAAAGAAAAGAAAATGGGCGAACGTACTTTTCAGGGCTGTGTATGGATGAACTGAACACCTAGGTCACCCTAGTTTTGCACTATTGAGCCACCAGGGAGCCAACTCATGTTGGATCGGAACCTCGCCGACCCCTCCATCTCTTGCCCCTTCTGGCAGAACGGCTGAGAGAGGTGGAGCTCGGGACAGCCCTGCGGACGCTTGGCCTGATTTCCCTGGGCCTTTATTCTCACTACTGGCTACTGCTGAATGTGTCTGGCTTCCAGAGCCCCAGCTCAGCCCTGGTCTGCATGCTCATCACCAGATCCCTGCTGGCCCACCCTTACCTTCATGTCAACATCTTCCAGGTGAGGCCTCCCCCACCCTGAGTGCTGGGGGGCTACAGGGATCACTCTCCAGGGTGCCTGGCGCAGGCTGGACCCTAGGTTCCGTGGGGAGAGAGAGGCCACCTGAGGAAGCATCCCTCCACCTCCCCCGCCCACCCTCTCTCTTCCTTTCTCTCTGTGGGTCATCACAGAGAGTTTTGATCCCAGGTAAGGAGCTTCTCTTCAACACTGGCTGCCATTCACACACAGATCAGAGATTTATTAAGAAGCTTCTATGTGCAGGTTACTAGACTAAGTTCTGTGGGGACACAAGTGAATAGGACCCCAGATCCTACCTCCAGGGCTCTTACTGTGATAAGCCCAAGGGCCATCGCAGAGGTCCCAGCGCACACGTGTCGAGGCAGGTGGATGCAGGAGCTGGAGACGAAGGTCTTCATGGGAGGCCAGCAGCTCAGCACTCAGTTCTGGGCCATTTCCAGGGATGGTCACCTCCCTGCTCCCGGGACAAGTGAAGACCCCGGGTTAGAGCATCCTGCATATGACCATCCCAGCACTTACCACACCGCCATTAATGACTGAATCCCATGACATAATCCCATAGTTGTGTCCCATCTGCTTGTCCTGCTAGAGCAGAAGCTCCCGTTCACTTCCGCATCCTCTAGACCGAGGACAGAGCCTGGCAGAGCAGGTGTTTTTATACATCTTTGTTTTTTTTTAAAATACATTTATTTATTTATTTATTTATGGCTGTGTTGGGTCCTCGTTGCTGCGCGCGGGCTTTCTCTAGTTGCGGCGAGCGGGGGCTACTCTTCGTTGTGGTGCGCCGGCTTCTCATTGCGGTGGCTTCTCCTGTTACGGAGCATGGGCTCTAGGCACGCGGGCTCAGTAGTTGTGGCTCACGGGCTTAGTTGCTCCGCAGCATGTGGGATCACCCCGGACCAGGGCTCAAACCTGTGTCCCCTGCATTGGCAGGCGGATTCTTAACCACTGCGCCACCAGGGAAGCCCTATACATCCTTGTTGAATGAAAAAATACACAAGGATGCGCAAACTTGATCTTGAACCATGAGCAGGATTTTGACTGGTGAAAAAAAGCAGAGAAGGGTCTCTTTGGGATGCAGGCACAGGGACATGAGGGATGGCGGTGGGCAGTCGTGGGCTTAGAGGACCACGAGATCAGAGAGGCACCCAGGCCAAGCCCTTCATTGCACAGATAGGGAGAGGGACCCGGAGACGGGCGAGACTCAGCGAGGGGCACAGACAGGGTCGCATCGCAGCTGGGTGGAGGGCCTCAGCTTCCTCACGCCTCTACTGGGTCCTGCTGGAGTGGGAGGTGAGGAAGGGGGCAGAACCCACGGTACCCGGGTGCTATAGCTGAGGATGCCTGAGGTGGGGTGGGGAGGCACGGGGCTGCCCGGCCCAGCCCCAGGGCGGGACCCTTGTGTCTGTCACAGCACATCGGGCTGCCCATGTTCTCCCGGGACAAGAAGCCCCAACGGATTCACATGATGAGCCTGGGGGTGCTTAACCTGCCCCGGCTGCCCGTGCTGGACTGGGCGTTCGGCCACTCCCTCGTCAGCTGCCACGTGGAGCACCACCTCTTCCCCAGGCTCTCCGACAACATGTGCCTGAAGGTAGATGAGGGTCGGGCTGGGGGGGCTTGGATGAAGAAGCTATCTCAGGGTGGAGGGGGAGTCACCTTCGGGGTTCTCTAACCAACTGGCGTGGTCAGAGGTTCCCAGGAAGGTCAGTCCAGGGTACAGGCAGCAGTGTGGGTTTCTGACCAGAGACACCTGGTTTTCTTACTAGCCGTGTGGCTCTGGGCAAGTTAACTGAACGTCTCTGAGCCTCGGCTTCCTCATCTGTAAAATGGGACTAAGTAGTGCTTACGCTGACAGGCTTTGAGGATGAAATGAAGAAATGGATCTGAAATGTTGGGCCCTCCGTAGGTGTTTGGTGAAAAGGAGCTGTGGTTTATCCCTCTATGCAAAGGAGGACTGTCACAGATTCGGGAGCTCCAGAGAAGGGTGCTGGGGAGAAGCCCTCCCTTTCCCTCGCCTGCTGGAAATGGGAGGTGGGAAATCTCCAAGCCCCTCAGCTCCTCCAGAGCATCATGGGACAAAGCAGACAGGAGCGGGGGGCTGGGCAGAGGAAGGGTCCCAGTGGGGATGGGCCTGCCCACAGCCCCGGCTCAGCGGCCCCTCCTCCCGCCCACCTTCTGGCAGGTGAAGCCCGTGGTGTCCCAGTTCCTCCGTGAGAAGCAGCTGCCATACAACGAGGACTCCTACCTGGCTCGCTTCCGGCTGTTTCTCCACCACTACGAGGAGCTCATGGTGCAGACCCCTCCCATCACAGAGCTGGTGGGGCTGCAGTGAGGGGCGGGCCGGCGCAGTCACCCCGCTCTCCCTTCCGGGCCCACCCCCGGGGCTGGGAGGGCGCGGGCCCTTGCCCAGTGGGTGCGGCTCGGTTGCCTGGAGGTGGGCAGTGAGACGGGGAGCTCATGCTGGGGGGCCCGGGGGTCACCTGCCCTGCTTGCTTTTCCGGGTTTTGAGGAATACCTGGAGGAAAGGAATAAAGGTGGCTGGGCATTCCGGTCAGTCTGGACCTCAGCCAACTTCATCTCAGGACTGAACAGCCGGATTCCTCCCCTGCTCGCTCTGAGCCTTGGTAGGGCTACAGGACGGGGGTAAGGAGGGGCCCTATGGAGGGGGCGGGCTAGGAGGGGACACCAGAAGAGAAGGGTCCGCTCCCTGGTGCCAGGGAGCCCCACACTTGGCCACTAATGCTTCCTGTGCCCTTGAGATTCTGGCCCCTATGGAGCCCTCTCCCCAGGGACCACAAGGAGAGGTTACCTTTGGCAGAGACCTTCCTAAGCTTTCAGCCCAGAAGCCTGTGCAAGACACTGGCTCAGCAGCTCCCAAGACCCACAGCATCTGTGAGATCAAAGTGTGTGTTTTGTGGGGAGGGCACTCCCGGCGAAATAAGGGGAGCAAGGGTATGAATAGCTTTGAAAGTGACCTTGGCCAGCTCTAGAAGTCTGCTTTGTTCCATGATGTTTACAAGGGGTGGAAGAATTCTCAATTGGAAGAGAGAGAAAATTACTGGGAGGGTCGCTGAGGCTGGAGAGGGGTTCCGGGAACAGGGTCTGGAGGTCAGATGGCCTTAGAGAGGAGAGGAAGGAGGGGAAGGAGAGTGTGTGGGGGGTGCGGATACAAGAGCTGGGGGTCCAGGGCTCGGCTCGGCTGTGAAAGGATGGTCTGCAGCCTGGGAGCGAGATGGGCATATAAGAGAACTACTGGTGCCAGCCGCAGGAAGAGGTCCAGGTACTGGGGACACCACTGAGATTCAGCCCAAAGCGCGCAGCCTTGATTTGAGAGAGGGCTGGGAGCTGCCCTGGCTGGAGGCTGGATTAGAGGGTGGGAGGAAGGGCCCGGCTGGAGGCTGATGGAGGAACAGAGAGGGAGGCCCAGCCTGTGACAGGAGGCCAGAGCAGTTAGTTTAAAATACGGTTTCTCACCTCAGCACCATGACATTTTGGCCAGATAGTGCTGTCGCTGGGGGCCTGTCCTGTGCATTGTAGGGTGTTTAGCAGCATCCCCAGCTTCTATACACTAGGTTCCAGGAACCCAAGTTGTGACCATCAAAAATGTCTGCAGACACTGCCAAATGTCCCCTGGGGGGCAGAAATCATCTCTGGTCGAGGACATGCAAGTCTATTCTGAGCACACAATTGCCTTGTTTTTCAGTGAAGTCCTTGGACGAGGTGAAGGGTGTGGTGACCCTGAAGATGGGGAGGCTAAATGCCAGCAAATGGGATGGGCTGAGGGGTCAGAGGGCAGGTGAAGGCATTCTCTAAGCCGGGTGCTGTTAGGGAACCCAGCTCTGGTGTGGCCTTAGGTGGCTCTGCTGGGCAGCTGCCACTTGCCCGCCCAGAGCCATTACCTTCTCCTCCACCCTGCGCTCCTGTCCCAAGCCCACACCTCCTGTCCGGCGCCCTCTCCTACAGCTACAGCTCTCACTACTTCTGAAACAGTCCCTCCTTTTGCTCCTTCCGGGCCTGGGCTGGTAGTGGCTTCCAGCTATTGCTAGCCCTGGACATCCTGCTACACCTCTGCACAGAGTTCCTTCATTAAACTCTCTTCAGTCAGCCCCTCTGAGCATACTGTCTGTTTCCTGCTGGGAGGCTGACTGATAGAGCAGAGGTTTGGATCCAAGCAGCCCTCTTGGAATGAGGCAGGCTTGGCAGCCTCCCCCGCTTACTGCTTTGCTATATGTTATCGCTGCTCTTTTGAAATGCATTAGCGACTCAGACGTGGCCTTAAGGACTGGGAATGCGATTAATCAAACTGCTTATTCTCCACAAGAAAAATGCAACATCAGAAAAGGCCCCATTGCACAGTCCTGGCTAATTATTAAAACCATCCTAGCGCTTCCCTGGTGGCGCAGTGGTTAAGAATCCGCCTGCCAACGCAGGGGACACAGGTTCGAGCCCTGGTCTGGGAAGATCCCACATGCCACTGAGCAACTAAGCCCGTGCGCCACAACGACTAAGCCTGTGCTCTAGAGCCCGCGAGCCACAACTACTGAAGCCCGCGCGCCTAGAGCCTGTGCTCTGCAACAAGAGAAGCCACCGCAATGAGAAGCCTGTGCACCGCAACAAAGAGTAGCCTCAGCTCTCATTAACTAGAGAAAACCTGTGTGCAGCAGCGAAGACCCAATGCAGCCAAAAACTAAATAAATAAATTTATTAAAAACATAAAAATGAAACCATCCTAATACAATCAGTGACTCATTGTTATTGATCTGGGCCTGAGTGGGGAATGCGCTGCAGCTGGAGGCCCTGGTACCAGACTTGGCTGTACAAGAAGCACCCAAGAACACTCCATCACTTTGAAGCTTGATTTTCTGTTACGCTGGGATTGTGGCCGGGATTGCGTGGGGCTTGAGAAATGAGGGGAGATGACAGGAGTGAATGAAGCCCCTCTAGGGCTCTGCAGACACCTATGGTCTAATTAACAGAGGTGTATCGGAGGTGATAATGTTTACAATGATGATGATAATAGCTAACATCAATTCAGGACTTACAGCACATTTTCCCCTATGCTATCTAACTTTAATCTTTACAAGAAACTGGTACTATTTTCCCCTCACGTTACATATTGTGAAGATAAGCCTTAAAGAGATTAAACTTATCAATGTTATATAGCTAGCAAGTGGAGGAAGAAAGATTCAAACCTGGTGTGTCCAACTCCAGAATTCCTGCTCTTAACCACCAGACATACTACCTCTGGGTAGGGAGCCCTATAGGGCTTGCTGGGGTGTCAGATCCTGAATCTCCTTCTCTTCCTCCCGTCTTAATAAATGGATCATTAAGACAAACTCTTTATGAACATCCATTATGTGCCAGGCACTGTGCAAAGCTCTGGGGATAAAAGAGTAAATGCGATTGGGTCCCAATCTCCTGGAGCTTACCTCTAGTGCAGGAATTGACAAACTTTTTCAGTAAAAGGCAAAATGGTAAATGTTTTGGGCTTTGTGGATGATATGGTCTCTGTCACAACTGCTCAACTGTGCCATCAAAGTGCAAAAACAGCCAGAGACAATATGTAAAGAAATAAGCATCACTGTGTTCTAATATATAATATATATATATATTATTTTTTTTTTTTGGCCATGCCGCGAGGCTTGCAGGATCTTAGTTTCCCAACCAAGGATCGAACCCAGGCCCCGGCAGTGAAAGCGCTGAGTCCTAACCACTGGCCCGCCAGGGAGGTCCTTAAAAGAATTTTTTAAAAATTTTATGTAGTTTTCACATGTCACAGAACATTATTCTTTACAGTTTTAGAAAAACTATTTAAGAATGTAACAGCCATGAACTTGTGGGTTGTACAAAAACAGGTGGTGGGCAGGGTTTGGGCTGCAAACAGTAGTTTGCCTACTCCTGGTCTAGTGGGATGAGCACAAAACACAATGACTTATTAGAAATCGGAGCAGTATTTACCTCTGAGTACCAGGGAGGGGAAGTGACTAGAAGGGGCACAAGGAATTCCTGGGGGTGCTGGCCATGTTCTACTTGATCTGAGTGGTGGTTACATGGTTATATTTCGTGGTGACTCATCAAATAGTACACTTATGGTTTGTGCACTTTTCCGTTCATTGTACTTTGTAAAGAAAAAAATGTTGCCTGCCATTCCAGTTCTACAAAAATCAAGCCATTAGCTACTGCAGTCACCCACTGGCAATGATCCCAAAGGGGAATTCAGGATGGGGAAAAACAGGAAGCATTCTGTGCTTTGGATATACTGGCCCCTAGATAGTTAATTTATATATCTAAGGAAAAATTTCAGTGACCCCATATTCTTGCATCTTACCTGGAAAAGCAGTAAAAGCATTAACTCGAGATGTCTGTTCTTTGTGATTAGCAATACTCTTTTTTTGCTTGACTACATGTTTTTCCCAGCAAAAAAAGTTCATGTATATCCTGGCTCCTCCCTTACCTCTTTGGAGTAGTTTCTCAGAGTAATCTGAGAGGCTGTCTCCTGGGCTACAGTCCTCAGTAAGGTCCCGGAATAAAACTGAACTCACGGTGTGTACATTGTGCATTTTTCTTTTAGTCGACAACTTCAATAAAAAAATAATTTAAGAATGATAGGGACTTCCCTGGTGGCGCAGTAGTTAAGAATCCGCCTGCCAATGAAGGGGACACGGGTTCGAGCCCTGGTCCAGGAAGATCCCACATGCCGCGGAGCAACTAAGCCCGTGTGCCACAACTACTGAGTCTGAGCTCTAGAGCCCGTGAGCCACAACTTCTGAGCCCGCGAGCCACAACTACTGAAGCCCACGTGCCTAGAGCCCGTGCACCGCAACAAGAGAAGCCACTGCAATGAGAAGCCCGTGCACCACAACGAACAGTAGCCCCCGCTTGCCACAACTAGAGAAAGCCCGCGTGCAGCAACGAAGACCCAACGCAGCCAAAAATAAATAAATAAATAAAAATTTAAAAATTTATTAAAAAAAAAAAGAATGATAAAGCAGTGTAATAGGTAATGATGGGCTGGAGTGCTGCAGGGACAAAAAGGGGCCCTAACCCAGTTTGGGAGAGGATGGGTCAGGAAAGGCTTCTCCAAGGATGTGCTTCACAAGAAGGCCCTTGGGGGAAGGGTGGGGGAGGCAGCATCAGGATCACTGGGTCAGATGTGACTACGGACCTGTCATTTAAAAATACATCTCGTTATGATCCAGCAATCCCACTACTGGGCATATACCCAGAGAAAACCATAATTCAAAAAGACACATGCACCCCAACGTTCACTGCAGCACTATTTACAATAGCCAGGTCACAGAAGCAATCTAAATGCCCACTGACAGACGAATGGATAAAGAAGGTGTGATACATATATACAATGGAATATTACTCAGCCATAAAAAGGAACAAAATTGGGTCATTTGTAGAGTCGTGGATGGACCTAGACACTGTAATACAGAGTGAAGTAAGTCAGAAAGAGAAAAACAAATATCGTATATTAACGCATGTATGTGGAATCTAGAAAAATGGTGCAGATGAACCAGTTTGCGAGGCAGAAATAGACACAGATGTGGAGAACAAATGTATGGACACCAAGGGGGGAAAGTCGGGGAGGGGGGGATAGTGGTGGTGGTGGGATGAATTGGGAGATTGGGATTGACATATATACACTGATATGTATAAAATAGATAACTAATAAGAACCTGCTGTATAAAAAATAAATTAAATTAAAAAATACGTCTTGTTTCTTGTGGATTTTTTTGCCTTAATTTTGATCTTCTGAAACACTGCATTACAAGGTTATTACTTTGATTACTGAGGTTTTTGGCGCCCCCTTAAATTTTGCACTCCAGGCCATTGCCTCATTCGCCTCACCCTATTCCAGCCTGCTGGACAAGGGTGGGAGATCTGGCTCTGCCCTTGGTACAGAGGGCAAGACGCTCCTCTCTGTTCCCTCACCTATGTAAAGGGGAGGACGATTTAAGCAACAAGATCTCCAAGGTTTAAAATTCTCCCTGGCCCAACCTGGACAGCATCTTATCGGGGTCAAACCTGTGTAACGCCCGGCGCCGGAGAAAGGAATGCCAGAAGTCCTGCCTGGAGACCCTTTTTCCAGACTTCCGGACTCTGTGGTTATTACCCAATGGACGGGGAGGCTCGCTTGAACCTGGCTTGTGATTAGCTGAGATGGAAACGAGGCGGGGTTCGCTATCAAATGGGAAAGGCGTCCGCGTCATCAGCAAGCGACGACAGCTTCCGGGGGTGGGGTAAGTAAAGTAAGCTCCTTTCTAATTGGTTCCTTCTTTCAGGCGGGCTTGAAACGGCAATGGGGATTTGCTCTCCTCCAACTCTAGGCTCCAGATAATTGGAGGGAGGGTAAAGATTACGGAGCAATTTATTGAGTCACATACGGCCCGGAAGTCCTGGGGGCGGGCCCTCAGCGGAAGGGGGTGGACCGGGGGGGCGGGCTTTTCATTAGGGCGGTGGGATTCTTTCGTGTATGTGGGCGGAGCCGCCACGCTGTGCTTTCCTGGAGCGTGGGGGGCGGGATTTGGGGCGGGGCCGCGATTGTGGGCGGGGTCACAAGAAGGACGAGGGCGGGGCCGGAGCCGGCGCGGGAGATCAGGGCGGGGTCGGGTCCGCTGTCTAGTTGCTCTTTCCAGGCATGGCTCCGCGCTGTTGGCGCTGGTGGCCCTGGTCGGCATGGCCTCGGACCCGGCTGCCTCCTTCCGAGAGCACCCAGAGTAGGAGCAGGGCACCTGTAGGGCTGAATGGGAGCGTGGGGAGGCCTGCGAGCGCTAAGTATAGGAGTAAGAGCCGAGCTGGTTGCAGGGCTGGAGAGGGGAGAGAGAGGGGACCAGGGGCGAGACTGGAGGGGTCCACTCATGCAGATGAGATGGGGGTGGTGTACAGGGGCAGGTGGCGGCCTGTGCGGTAATATGAGGCTCCTGGGGTGAGACAGGGGTCAACAAAAGTGAGAAGGGGAGACCATGATGTCCACAGAAGTGAGAAGGGGTGATAAGGAGGTCTGTGGGGCAAGAGGGAAGTCTGAGGCGAAACAGGGGCCTCTATGGGCAATAGAGGGCTCTGTGGAGAGAGAGGTAAGAAGAGGTAAAATGGGGCCTTGTGGGGAGATCCACAGGGGCGATATGGGGTCTGTTGGAAGGATGTGGTATTCTAGCTGGGTGGGTTGGGAACCCGGTGAGAAAAATTAAGAAGTGCTGAGCAGGGAAGCTTCAGGGGTGATGGGGATTGTCGAGTAGGCCATCTTCAGCGGCGTAGTAAGTTCATGGGTGAGATGAGGGCTCTGGATGGAGACACAGCCTTTGGGAATTCAGATGAAGTAAGGGACCCTGCAAACGCTAAAGCTTTGAGGAAAAAGAGAAGGAGTGCACAGATGAGGGTGAAGCCTGGGAAACCCCGTTTTCTGTTGGACACTGAAGTTGGGGTTTGGGATGGGGAGGGAGTCTTTTTTTAAAATTTTATTTATTTTATTTATTTTTGGCTGCATTGGGTCTTCGTTGCTGAGTGCAGGCTTTCTCTAAGTCGCGGCTAGTGGGGGCTACTCTTCACTGCGGTGCGCGGGCTTCTCATTGCTGGGGCTTCTCTTGTTGCGGAGCACGGGCTCTAGGCGCACAGGCTTCAGTAGCTGTGGCCCGTGGGCATCAGTAGTCGTGGCTCGCGGGCTGTAGAGCGCAGGCTCAGTAGTTGTGGCGCACAGGCTTAGTTGCTCTGCAGCATGTGGGATCTTCCCAGACCAGGGCTCGAACCCGCGTCCCCTGCATTGGCAGGCGGATTCTTAACCACTGTACCACCAGGG